GCATTTCTATTTCACTTCCATAGAACTAAATTATACTGAAGGTTGTGTTGCAAGTGGAGAGTGAGTAGTCATTAAAAGCTTAACACAGCTTTTTCTGAAGTTGTTTGAGTGATCTAAGTGTTTATTGTACTTCGTATACAAGTAGTTTACCATGCTGCTGAATGCTGAAGTGCATCAGCAAAGGCTTTTTTATGAGGGTAGTGCTCTTATGCATGTAATGTGTGTAGATAGATAGATAGTCAATCCTATTAAAGCTGTTATTGGTACATATTCTTGGCATTGAGCCTCTGATAGCTTGAGGCATATTGGCCTATTTTCAATTTCATATTGATACTAGTAAGCAATTAAAAATAAACAATTTGCATTTTTGAAAAAATGCATAAACAGCATCTTATGATATTATGAATTGCTTATTTTATATAACAAATAGCCTATTTTATGAGAGATGCTTTTTTTCCACTGAGAAAACTTTCATTTCTACAAAATGCTGCCTTATCTCACTGAATCAAATCTTTTATCTTGTTTAAGCCTAACATTTCTTTTTTGATGAATTAATCTTGTTTTGAGAATAGCTTATGGGAGATTTGAAGATATTAAGTATTGTATGTTCGAGTACTCATTTCTGGTTGGTTTTGAGCCCTGCTGAAGATTCACTAGATATCTAATGTGAAACATTCTGGAGGTTATATTAATACATAAATGTTCATATGAATTATAAGGAATTTTATCATACATTCCTTCTGACAGCTTTCCAGACTTGTGACTGGAGATCTCATAAAGTACTTCAGCTCATATGCATACTGGAGACCATTGGAGAGGAATGACTTGACCTGACTGCTCCAAATTTTAAAATGTTACGTAAAAATCCTCACGTGAACACTACATTAATTTCTGTAGTTATTTTGCTATTGCAGAAAAGATGTTTTTGTTCTTTCTGAGTCATTTGACCTACAATCTCATGCAAAGTTGCCATTTTTGTTGCATCTTATGCTGAAAATTCTGAGCAGTTTTCTTGGTGAATTTAGAGCCACACATGTAGATCTGTTTTTTTTCCGGTTTACTGCTGAATTCTCTTAGTTGTGCACAATCTAAAGTTACAGCCTTTGTTTGGCTTTAAACTCAGTTTAAATTCACATTTTGATATATATTTGCCAGTTTGGTTCACAATTTTATAATAGGCATAGCTGTGCTTAATTTTAAATTCATGTGGAACTTCTATATATGCCAGTTAAACCAAATTACCCTGCTGCATTTATACATATCTTCTCATTATTTCACAGCTATTATTCTTTACAACCTTCACTGTATTTTTGTGAATCACTTCTTTTCTGTATCACAACCACATAAATTCATAAGTTCTGAGCCCATTTCTGTTGTTCTCCTAGTTTTGGTATTTCAGACTAGTGCTCATTTTTGCTGCAGTCTTTCCCTCTAGTGAGGGCAGGTGCTGAAGTCTCCTGAAATCAAGGCGCTGCTAAGGAGAGCACCCTGGCAAGGAGTGAGCTGCCCTGAGAGTTCAGCCCATCAGCTCCTGCTCACGCTCACCAGAGTCCAGAATCTGTTCAGAGAAGGGGATGTGCATAAACATGCTTGGGATATTCTTACTAAGAACCCATCTGAGCAAATGGGATCCAGCTTTTATGTTGGCCAGGAGTATGTATCTAGTAATCATGATCATCAAGGCATCCTCATTCTTCATAGTATTTTATACCTAATAATTGGAGTTCTGTGCAGAATCATAGGGTTGGTAACCTCCCTCCCTGGAGGCACTTGCAGCTTAAAAAGAAGCAGTGATATTTTAAAAGCTATATATATGTAAATCAGGCAGAGCACAGGGTGATGGATAGCTGTATTCTTGTTTAAATAAGTATCTCTGCTTTCACTAAAGTCTCTTCAGCCTTCCTGTGCAGTTTTCTCTAATAATAAATGCCTTCTCTGGAGTTTTCACTGTTGTAACGAAATTAAATAGTTCTTTTATGATAAAGGTCACCCAGTGTTGAGATAGTTACCCTTCTAAAATCTGGTTAGTGACTGTTGTACAGAAGGGAAAGTTAGTTCACTTTAGTCCAATACTGGTTTTTTAAAGCAGAAATTATAACATCCAGGTGGTTCTGCGTGGTTTGTACTGAGCTCCGCCCATGAGTGTTTGGATAATTGTTGCTGATACTTAATGGAGCAAGTTCTCCTCCTTGAGACTTTTGAGACTATTTTTCTGTACAGTTGTAGAATTAAATGAAAGTTTCATGTAAATAAGTCTTCTTTGCCAACCTCAGGTATTGTGTGTTTGTAATCAAGTGATTTGTGCAAAGTTTAATGCACAGGGAGCTGGAAAGTGTGAGCTACGATTTATGGTTTGATTGCAGCACTGAAATAATCTGTGTGCAGGGTAGGGCTCTCCGTAGTTCTGCAGTACTGGCAGGAAAGTATTGCAACTCCCGTTCCAATGTGAAAGCTGAAAGTGTGAAATGGAGACGTTACTGTTGTAAAGAGGGTAATTAAAGAGTTTAGAATTCCTTTTTAGTTTAAATACAAGTCAGAAAATGTTTGCCATGGTGCTGAATACTGTGTCATTTCAAGGGGGAGTGTGTGGAAACAGATTTCTTGCTTCTGCTTTTTCTGCACCTGCAAAATCAAGTGGCAGTATTTCTCGAAAATTGTGTATTTACATTTACTCAATTTTATATGTAAATTATATAAGAGAGGCGTTTTGTAGCAGCCTGTGAAATCTTAATCCTGTTTTGCAGGCTGAGAAAGACAATGTTTCTGTATGGTCTGCAGCCTGTACAACTGAATTGCAGAATACTTTCAGAAAGCTATTCAGGATTGAGGTCTTAACGGGGATTTTTTTGACTGGGACATAAGAAACTTGTTATAAATGCTAAACTGGTTCCTGTCCATCCAAGATGAGGCAGACAATTTGTACTCCCAACTGGCCTGTGTAGAAGAGCTGTGCTGGTTTTGATAAATCCTCTGATACTCCTTTCTTCTGTTTCCTTAGTCCTAGCTAAGGAGGAAGCAGCAAGAGCAGGCACCACCAGAAAAGATAGGAAAGTATGATTGAATTTAAAAAATTCTGTGTGACATGTGGGGTTTTTAAAGGTTTATTGCCTAATTGTGTCTTAGTATTTTTGTGGTAATCGGTCTGCATGATTAAGACTTCTAACTACTACTAATCAAATGCACAATCTATTCCTGTCTCTACAAAAGGATTTCTTAATGCTTTTTTTATATTGTTCTTTAACTTTCTATCAAGTCAACAGAAAAGAAAATCCTATTTATTGGTGCAGTTTAAATGTAATTGTTGGTTCTGAAAGAAACTCTTTTAATTTAAAATCTTCTCCTCTGTTTTCTGGATACATACTGTCTATTTAATAGAGAAGACTGCCAAGCTTTGACTTCTTTTGGCAACCGCGAATCTAATTAGCATTTCTGTTAAATAGAACCTTTTACATTTTAAATTCTCAAAAGCAATGTAGAAATTCACTTTCTATTTAAGAGTTTTGTCTGCCTCTGCAGCAATTGCAGTCTTTTTGCTCATAGTGGAAGGCTGCTCTACCAATACCTGATTGATAAATACAGATACCTGGGATTCTCTCACCAGCTCGGGCTTATAACAAATGCTGCCCTTATGCTTCTTTAATTTGTTTTTTTTTTGTGATGAAGCTTACACTATAAAAAGCTAACAAATGAGATTAAACCAGTGATTTGTTTCTGCTTAGCAGATCCAGTCCTTTTTTCGATGTAAAAGCAAATGCTTTTGTTTTAATTTGGTGTAAAAGTGAATGCTGTTCACTAAGAGGGCACATAGGTCACATAAGCCTGAGGAGATATATGGAGATGTTATTGTTTGTAACTTAAATGGAATTGTCTTTCTTTGCACTCAGCAGCTGTATGGAATGCAAGCAGGATAATTAATATAGCTGCATTATGTGTCAAGCTACTTATACAGATGAGTTAATGGACAAGAGGTTTTTATATGGTCACCTTATCATGCACTGGGGAGTAATGCACTTTTCTTCCACTTGACCATATCATCAGGAAAACTTCAGCAAAAAGATCATGCTCATGTTCTTGTAGGAATACTTCAGAAATATTGTTGTAGAACAGGCTGGCATTTTTTCAGTCCGTTTGCCAACACATTGATAAAATACATTAATATTTTTTTAACCCTAAGGGTATGGGAAGAGTCTATTAAAGTCCAGTCTCAATGTTCTTCTGTAAACTTGTAGCTTTCTGAATTCTGAGCTCAGTCTGACTTGAGTTTGATACTTGTAGAGCTGCTGGAGGCCCTTCATTATTTTGATGGTAAATGGTTTTGTGGCTATGGTCATATAACCTATAAAATAAATGTTCATGTTTTGGTTTTAAAATTCAAGTAATGAGAGAAATATTTAGTAAAAGCTCAAGCTCTGCTGCACTTTAGAAATACATGTAGCTTGTTTGAATTTTTGTAATTAACCATTCTGATAACCCTAACATGATTTAGTCTACTTTCCCAATAGTATTAGACTTCCTGTATTTATAAGGAAAAACTGGCTAATGAAATGCAAGACATGAATGTGATACAGCTGATGCTAGTTCTGGTTTTCTGCTTTGTCTCATGGAAGGTAGAATTTATAAGATGAAGTATATTCAGCTGTTCTGAGAGGTGAAAATGCTGCCTCTTTCTGAGAGGTTTTGTTCACTAGAGCTATGGTAATATTTGTCAATTGTGTAAAAGTCTGCAAGATTCTAGGTGTAATCTTTAATTGTTTTGTTTTGTTGGGGTTTTTTTTGTTCTAGTTCTGTTATGTAACAAGACTCAGAGAACTGTTGTCACTATCAGAACATTCCAGTCCATGGAAATATCCTGTAATTTCTTTTTGCAAAGTACGATTCTAAAATCCAGAAGTCTTGGGAACAAAGTCTTTTGTATCTCTGTATTCCAGCTAAGTTGAAGAATTGCTGTGTGAAGTATGAGTACAATTTAACAAGACTTTCCTTCGTTTTTTGTTTTGAAGGACTTGGTAAATATTGAGATGTTTTTGACTGCTAAAGAAGTAGAAGAGTCATTGGAAAGACAAGAGACTATGACTTGCTTGGCTTGGTGTCATGACAATAAATCCAGACTCAGAAAAATGAAGGTATGAAAAAAACCATGTTCACGTTTTGCTTAAACTATTTTCTAAATTACTTGGATGCTGGATGTGGTCAATATGTTTTAAATCACAGGTCTTGAAAAAGGTTATGTATAAAAGTAAAGACAGTAAGTATAAAAATGTTCTTAAAATGTGTAGGTAGTTGAAGCTGGACAGGCTCCCAAATGTCAGGCCTGGAAGTGAGTGATAGGTCATCTTCTGGATTCAGTGTTGTCTCAACAAATTATGCTCAAATAAAATACAATACTCAGTTGGGTTTAATGTAACTTGTAAATAAATAAATGCAGAAATATGTAGTGTCTTGATGCATGTAAACTTACATTTATAACTCTGTGCATCCTGGTGAGACTGGAACTCAGTTTATATGTGAAGATGTCTTAAGAATGAGATTATTTGATAATTGGCTGCGCTCAGGTTTAAAATTTCTGAGAGAAATTTCTTGCAGATTTTGGTCTTAGTAATTTTTAAGTGTCGAATATAAGAAGACAAAACTTTAGAGTAAGGATCTAACTTGCTGTGGGAAAATACAAAAATAAAAGCTGGAATCTAATCAAGTAAAACACAAAGTCTTCCTCAAGCCATTGAGTGCCATGAGCTGAACATGCTGTGTACTTGTTGCTGTGCAGTCCGTTTAAATCTCCTTGTCTCTTAAATTACGCATTTCAAAACATGCTGTAATCTTTTATAGGGCTTGCAGAAATCTGTTTTTAACTGGTATTAACCAACATCCCTGCCTCTCTCAAAGATGTTTGTGCCATATATTTTTTAAACTAAGCGCTTTCTTTAACCAAAACTGTTTGAGTGCACTTAACAATAAGCAAAGAGTGACGTTCTCTGTCACTCAGGGGCGCCAAACTGAAAACGAGCCGAAGATGGGATGCAAAAGTAAATCGGCCAGTGATTACTGTAGAGAAAATGATGATCTTGTTATGGAAACCATTAAAGGAAAATCAGAATTGGTATGTAAACCATATTGCATAGTTACACTGCTAAAAAATCCCCCTTGTGTCATCTTAAAATGTTAAGTAATAGAAGAAATATAATCTGAACGTCTTACTTTTTCATCACCAATTTTCAACAAGCAGTAAATTAAGGAAAAAGTCTTCCCCATCCTCTTTTTCAAAAACGAGCTACAACAAAAGCCTATTTCTGCAAGCCCTATGCTTTTTTCTTTTTCTTTTTTTGTTTCTTTTTTAATCAAACAAAAACCAGAGCTAAGACTGTGAGAGATAAGACTTGGAAGAAGAGAAATTACTATGCTTCTTTTTGAAACACAAATATTTCTTCTGCTTCTAGTTGCTTAGCTACTCATCAGTGTAAATGTTCTAAAATCCCAGCCACCACCTACCTGAATGCAAGCCTTATCTAAAATCTAAACTGTTTGGTGGCCTGGGAAAGCAGTCATGCAATATTTACCAATGTGAGCAATCTGAAATCTTGTGAAGAGCTGCTGTGGGATTGTTTGAAGGTACACAGAGTTGGAATGTGCATCATCTGATTGTCTAGGACTCTCTGCTTCTAGTTACATCTGTCTGCAGAACCCCAGGGGCCACTGGCTTGCACCTTACTTGAAAATTCTTTTGTTTGGCATGTTGGTTTTGCAATGGAAACCTCCTAGCAAAAGAGGAAGCCCTGGGATTTAGTATCATTAATAATTTAAAAATCTTGATCAGATTTTTAGTAGAAACAAGCTTATTTCAAATTCTAGATGAGGGGTTTGTGTAGATTTGGACAATAAGGTATTTTAAAATAGTCCTGTTGAAAATCTCAAGAGGAGAAATTTTTATTGTCTGCTAAATCTGGGCTTAAATATGGAAAAATCCATAGTTGGAAAATATTTTTTTCTGTTCCTTAAAAAAGTAAGTTTTAACATATGAAAATGCATCATTTTTATGTTCAAATGGCTTATGTTTTAAATCTTAAATAAGCAGTTGTTACAATGTGTGCATTAGTCACCCCAGGCAGCTGAGAGAAATTCAGAGTTGCTCAAATTCCTACTGAAGTCACTGAAGGAATTTTGATATGACTATGCTGATGGACAATAAACAAAAGGCAACTATTCATTAGAAACATGGGTAAAGAAAAAACACTCAGCAAGTGGAGCAGAGGAACACAGGGAATAGGCTTCTTTCCATGATACAGAGCACTTTGGGTTTTCATTATGTTCCTAAGGTAATAAAGCAGTTGACTGTGTCCCTATAAAGAAGCATAGTGATTTGTTCTTTTATGAGGGGGGAGATCTTTTTCTTTTTAATTCCACATATTCAAAGTTTTTTTATAGATTTTGTGAACTGGTGATGGAATTTGATTTAAAGGGACACTCTCAACTTCATTAGGCTTCAAATTTTTACCTTTTTCCAAAAACAGGTAAATGCCACTTGGTTTTCTTGTTTGAGACTTGTTTCCAGCATGGCTTTTAGATGTTTGACAAGAGGAGTGGAATAGAAGCTTGAAGAAAGGGAGGGAGGGTATTGCAGCACTTAGACTATGTGCTGGTTTTTGTTAATATTGGGGTTTTTCAAAAAATATTCAAAGGCTTGTTTCTTCCTTGCAGTCTTCTGGGTAGACCTGTCTAAATTATCACATATCCCCAAACTCCTGTTGACTCTACTACTTTAAATTGTAAGAAAGAACGAGGAAACCACCTGTTACTCTCATTTGTGTCTCAGGTAACAAGGCTTTCAGTCATTAGGAAAACGTTCATCCCTGCTGAAGTTTTTAAAGGAGGCAAGAAGAGGATTTTGTTTGCTTTTAGGGAATTCTATGCTGATCTTGTCTGTAGAGTCAGCATTTCAACGTTTTTTGCATGAATGCCTAAAAGCAAGCAAACCAGGTTGCATGTTATTAACACTTTCTTTTTTGTTGTGCACACGTAGTCGTTAACAAACCATGCGGTGCAACTTTGGCACCATCTAAGACCCTGTCTTGTCTTTAATCTCAGAGCTGTCTGGAGTTCAGCCTAAGGATTCAGGAGTTCATTGAACTCATTCGACAGAACAAGAGACTGGATGCTGTGAGGTATGAAATTAGGATGCTTTCCAAACAGTTTTCTTAACAAGATGGTATTATGCTTCATTAGAAACATGTGACTATTGTTGCAACACCCAGAAGCCCTGTAAAGCCTTGAAGGGTCTTGCCTGGAATTGTCATCAGTCTTTGGATTTTGGCTGGGCTTGGATTTTTTTTAAAGGCAAAATATCATTCCACAGATGCACCTTCTTAAAGAATTGATGTTATCCCTGAAACTATGTCTTCTTTTTCTTCAAAATCAAGGTCTAGAAAATTAACCTGTTTTAAAAATCAAATGTATTTTCTGGTGCATACAGTGTAATATATAAATATATATTCACCCTTAACTAACTTTCAAGAGGTACAGCCAGCTTCTCATGGCAATTCATTACAGTTTTAATCACCAGAAATACTAAAAGGTTAATGAAACCTTCATCTAAAGCTTTAACATTTCAATTTTGAACTGAATTCTCTTCTGCTTTGCTATCTTCATTAAATTTTTTGTTATGCAAGTTACCTGCAAGGCTGTGTTCACCCCCTGTATTGTTGCATTAGAGTTCTGTGTGGTTGTGGGTGGGAGAGGGATGAGCTATGTTAAGTTTTCCTCACTCAGTTCCTCTGGCTCCAAATGAAGAAACCAACTCAATATCCATTTTTACCCATTCTGAAGTAGTTCAGTGGGGACTACAGAGAGAAAAGTGACAATGCCCAGTGGGATTGTGAATCAGTGACAAAAGTGCAGTCACACCTCAGCACTGCCTGACTTTAACCACAAGAGAGTTTTTCTGACAATACTTTTAGAACCAGCACATGAAACAATTTATACATCTGAGTTAATGGTCCTGATTTAAGGTGGAATAATGTTCCAGGATAACACAGGAAACTAGTCTTGCTGAAATAAGTAGAAATTTGATACTGGGACAAAGAAATGTATTGATAATTTGATAAGCAGTGACCTTGACAGCACCAGAGGACGGTGCAGGTGGCAGAGCTACTGAAGCTTACATGTGCACAAGGGAGGGAGAAGATGTGAGAATTTTTAAAAGAGAGGTGAGAAGTTCATGGCCCAACCTGAAGCTTTGCTGATACATCCTGATGAGAACACTGTTGCCACACAATATTGCTATGGTAAGGAAGTTGCAAGTTCTGCTGCCTTTAAACCCAACCTAAGTACTTCAGAAACTGGAACTTGTATTTGTGGCAGAGCTGATTTTTTTGGTCCGAGCAGCACAGAGGTACACAAAGCTATCATAATGTATGCACACACTGAACACATTCTAGCATATTTCCCAAACTAGATGAAGATGCTCTCCTGCAGGGTGAAGTTTTAGGGTTGTTTTCAGTTTTTATTTCTAATTTCATTCAGATGCTTGGCTTGCTTTAAGCTATTATCATCCCTACTTTGCCCTACTTGCACTTAAATCATCTTTGCTCTTGTCCTAGCCAATGCAAATGTGCAATCCGATAAACTCCAGCTAATTTTAATGTTAATAATTAAAACTAAACATAATTAAAAACAAAACCTACAAGCTAGCATTTAGATATGTGCATTTATCCTTTGATAGAATTATCAAATCCTAAGGAATTGTCAAGTACTTAAGAAAAGGATGAAAGAGACTCAACTCCATTATCTGTCTTCTGAAGCCCATGGTGCTCTTTATACCAAATGAATACTGTGCCTTTAGCTTTATTTTCAGTTTGTTTCTTTGCCAAGTGTGCAGTCATGCATCTTAACAATGAGTAGTCCATGCTCTAAAAACTATTTTCTTTGAACTACAGCTTCCTTATGTAGCTTGGAAACCAGAGGACAGGCACAGAGCTGGAATAAGAAAATAGGCTGAGAACTGGGACAAAGCAGATAAGGTCCTTCTGTATTTTATTGTTACTGCATATTTGTTTCCCTCTCATCCCTTTTCCACATCAGAAGTGGTAAAATTTGCAAGCTGTCAGCCCTCAAGAGGACACAGCATGCTTAGTGTGGAACAACCTGAGGTTTGCAACTTGGAGCTCCTATATGGCAAACAAGGCATCCATATTGAGTGTTGTTGGGGTGAAGTGTGTATATTCCATATATCTGCTGAAATTCAGGGTTGACATATATTTCATATTTGGCAATTATAAGTTGCCAGTCATGGCAGTGCTGCTTTAACTTCGTAACCAATTGTAAAAGGAAAAGGAGCTATGGAAGTCTTTCTATATCTTAATTGACTCCTTTTTAGCAGGATGAGTTTTGATTATTTAGTACATTCAGACTTCAACATCTCAGTGTTTCCTTTAAATAATATGGCTTAAAAACTCTTTAGGTTTTTTTTTACCATTGCATTCTACTTTGTTCCAAAGTAAATAAGTAATGAATAAGGGAATACATTTTGGGGAGGTGTGGCATAAATCTCATTGCTCCTAGCAAACCCTTGCAACTTGTGGCTTTATTAGCTTGCTTCTGTTAAGTGCCTGCAGCAGGATTCTTTCAGTATTGTGTCTGTGGTGCAATAAATAGGTCAGGCATCCATTAGAAAGCAGAGAAAGAGGCTGTTTACCAAGGAGTTTCCTGTATGAGTGGAACTGGGGGAACTGACATTTTGTTGAAACGCAGCTGGTGTTTAAATAAGTTTGAAAGCTTTTGCTGCCTACTGAGAACCTCTGAAGTGACATTGCTTTTACATTAAAATTGATGTGAACTTTAAAATTATACATCTTATTAAATAAGTGTTTGAATTTGTGTAGCTTTTTAGAATGAGTACAAACAGACTTTCCTCTAAGGTACCTTATCAGAGTAGCCTTGAAAGTGCAAGTTTCAAGAATGTAAAAAAGTGTTCTTAAATACAAAGAGTAAATCTCTTAACCTTAAATATAACACAAAGTTTTTTTTCCTAGTATCATTAGCCTTCAACTCTCAGTCTCTAGGGTTTTTTTGTCAAATTTGTACCTTCTAAAGTAACAATGAATGACTGATGACACCAGTTTCACACTTTAGGAGCTCTCGAAAATTTCATTCTGGGAAATCTGACAGCATTTTGATATTTTGCTCTTACACAATGCCAGAGATACACAACGTTCTCAGCTAAAAGCTTAACAAAGCATCACGTGCACTTCTTGTTCTGGGGATACAAAGGACAAAAAGGAGTAAATAATAGCTGGTGGGCAAAGTTAGGAGAAAATGGTTACAGTCTATCATTCTAGTCAACTTCCCTCCTACAAGGAGGAATGAACACTATTTTTTTGGTGGGGTATAAATATACTTTTGAGCACTTTGGGTATAAATTCTGTTGGCTGTCATAAGGGTCTGAAATAAAGGCATTCAGGCATTGGCCAAAAAACTGAGTAGAAACAAGTCCTTTCTTGATAACACCTTATATTTGTGTTCAGTTATTGCTACTGCCCAATAAATACGTTATTTTTATATTCAGGCATATGTAGACATACAAGCTGGACATTGCAAATGTGGATCCTTTTGTAACAATTTAGTGTACCCTTAGTGAACTGTAGGTCTTCAAGTCTTTGTAAATATTTGTCAAGTACAGTATGTCAGCTGCACCTGTGTGGGCTGGGAGGGATGCACAAAAGTTGATGAACTTTGTCCTTGCAGAGTTTACAGAATAATTTCTGGGATTCTAAAAACAAAATTTTCTACCTATTGCTCTGATCTGTCACAGGAGTTCAGTGGCTTCAGGGATGGTCTATTGTCAGGACTTTAAAGATATTTTCTAGAAAAATTTAGCCCCCTGCCTTAGCTATAGAGACTCGTATGTGCTAATGGTGATAAAAGCATTGCAATTCAGCACTGTAATGTTCACACAGACCTCCAGGAGCATGACAACACTTGCACAGAGATGGAAATAGCTGAATGACAAGGGAAGGGGTGAATAACTGCATGAGGGCAAATAAGGTGTTATTTCACTATTGTGTATTCCCAAGTAACTTACACTACTGTGTCTTGCTTCCCAATCTAAAAAATACTTGAGTGCTATGAATTAACGAACTTGCTTCACCTTTGAAAGATATCTTGCTCCATTTTAATTTCTCAGTGGATGAAGTTCTGCCATAGCATGCAGACCTTGTGGGAAACCTTCCTTCCTTGTTTTTTTTGTTTTGTTTTGTTTTGTTTTTTAAAAAGAACACGGGAGAGAGGGAAAGTCAGAAGATAAAGACTAACTCAAGGTTGCTTTAGAAAACCTAACTCATTCTGACTGAACCCAAAGCAACCACCACATCCCAGTGTGCTCAGTACTTTTTGCAAGTGATGGAAGGCTGATGGCCTGGCAGGGAGGAGAACCTTAACACTAACCAGGCTGGTGCAAACTGAAGTGTCACTTCTATTTTGCCATCACAGAACACAACTGCACTCTAATCAGTTATTGTGAGAAGATTTTCCCCCCTTTTTTCTCTCATGCATGCACAGATAATAATTTATCTCAGCTGGTAGATCTGAATATTTTGGTTTGCCTAATCTGTGTTTGCAAAAGTTGTTGATTTCATTTGCAGCTCTCCACGGTTATTTTAGCTTTCTTCAGTGTGTTCAGGCTGTCTCTCCTCTCAGGCCAGGGGGTTTGTGCTTCTGCCTTCATAACAGTAATCACCTGGGGAACAATGTTTACATTCCTGGATTGCTCACCCAGCATAGGAAATTGGGTGGAAACATTCTGTCCTACATAACTTCCATTGCTTCCTGGCTTGGGTGGGAGAGGAAGTGGGAGTACTGAAACAGTGCTAAAGAGACTGTTCTCATGGTATTGATGACTTCAGTGGAGCAGTCAAATTCAGAATTGGAAAAAAAAACCAAAACAAACAAAAAAAAAAACAACAAAACCTTGCCTAGTTTTCTTACTCAAGCCATGAAATGTACATTTTGAAAATACTGTCTCTTCTTAAAAGTAATTTAGGAATTAATAAAAGACTCTTCAAAAGTTACAAAAGCGCAAATTCTTAGTAGAGGACTTGAGAGATGACTTGAGATATCTTCTCCATAATACAAACTGCACAGAAGTCACAGTGTAGGGAAAACCTTCCTGCACTTATGCAATGCCAGAAATTCAGTATAAAGCTGGTTCCATACCCAGCCTGCTGTGCTACATCTGTGCACCACTGAAAACAGGAGCTTTTAGCAGAAATGCTGAACTAATCATCCACTTTAAAGGCTGAAGGGTCTTCCTGCACACTTACACTCCAACTTGAGGATTACTGATCTTAGGAAGACAAGACTGGGGAAACTTTCATATAGGGTTTTAAAGTAGTTGAATATCCTCATAATCTGGTAATATTTTTGTGGTTTCTTACTATTTCTTGAAAAATATTGAAGTTCATATTTTTTATTTAAATGTGTTTCTGGTAATTCTGTCACTTCTTTCAAATATGCAAGCTTTCAGCCATGTGTGTATCCCTTACAATCTGTATGTGTTAAAGTACAAAAATTTATACTGAAGTTCTAATTAATTTTTTTATTTTCCTGGCTAAAAAAAAAAGGTGCTCTTAACAAGGTATTTTCTATTACATTGCCCTACCATTTCTTGTAGTCTGCACATAAAGTGATATTGTTTACTAGCCTATACGCCTGCCCCCAAGAAATCATTTATTCAAAATAAGCATTGCCCCACATGTCAGTATACAAAAGGTAGATATTTGAACACTCGTGATGTGTAATGGGTCTGGAACAGCTGATTTTCAGACTGCCTTTATTCCACGTGTGAATGCATGCCAGAGGAGTGTCATACACAAAGCCTGTGTGAGCAGAGACATTTCTTCTAATAATCATGGTTGTTTTGATTCTAGGTGAGGCAAGATTTCACACTGCAGTAAAAAGATTCTGGTTTCTAAGAAATTAGAGTGTAAAAATACTAATTCTTAGTCCTTCTTGCATTCCAGTTCGCAGGATGTGTTTTTTCAAGTCCTTCAAATGTACACAGAGCACTCTTGGACTCCATATGTTGAGAGCAGAATCTAGAGGTTTTCTCCAAAACGTTCCATAATTAAGTAAATTTACTTGATTTGGAAACAAGGCTGTCTAATAAAGTATCAATTCTCTATTTCAGACATGCAAGAAAGCACTTCAGTCAGGCTGAGGGAAGCCAGCTGGATGAGGTTCGACAGGTGATGGGAATGTTGGCCTTTCCTTCAGACACTCATATCTCTCCCTATAAGGTAACATTGAAATTCAGTGTTACAACACAGTATTAAAACAGATGTTCCAGTTCTTTTTTCAGCACAGGAAAATGCATTGATAATATCAAGATAAAGGGGGTTTTTTTAAGTTTTACTGCCTAACTTCCACCTTTGTAGGAGTTCTTAATTTTAGCAACCAGTCCTTGTACATAAATCCAGAAAGTATATGTATTGTTTCAGCTGGATTGTAGTAGTAACATGGATTCACACTGAGTTAGGCTTACCATAAACCCAGCATTAGAGATCTGTGGGGCTGGAAGCACAATAATTAAATATACAGCAAGAACCAGAAGATGGGGAAGTACAAAGGAAAAAAAAAAAAGCGTCTTGTTCAACATAAAAAACTGTGACTTTCGTACACTTGCAGCAGTTCTTAATTTTACTTCTCACATTACTGTTGTTGCAGTGGTCAGAATGAAGAAAGGAGGGATGATTTGAATGATGTGAAAGCAGTATTTTTGTTCCTTAAAATAAAAGTTTTCATTTATTTGGATTATACAAATTAGTGAAGATATTAGTGGTAATATCTACATCTAAATTTAAATCAAGCAAAATTTATGGGTAGCTACTGTTTCTACAGACTGAGTTCTGGGGTCATGTGCTAATTCACTTCTTTTTAACTTGGCTTTGGAGGCAGAAGGTAGAGAAGAGTTGAGTTGTCAAAGCAAGACAAGCATTCCATGAAATGCCAAGCCAATATGTGGCAGTGCCAGTATAAACTCGTTTTCTAAACATGATGATGAAATCATGGTTTAACAAAACAACCACACAAAAATCCCCTGAAATGAACAACCCACAGAATCAATATGAATTTCTTTGCTCATCCCAGAGTCCTGGAAGGATCCTGGTATTTTACATGCTAGATTGGATCTAAGTTATGAGTATAAATGATGTGTTAGAAGACTGTGTGTAAGATAGAATTTATCATTATTTTAGTAGTTACAAAGAAATAGGCAGGAATTAAAGATCCTGTATTTTATGCTAAGGACTAGTTTGGATGGAGTGTTTCAATGAGGGAGAACAAGGAGAAATAGCTAGGATTGTTCCACATGCAACCATACAATGACAACAAATTCCCTAATACTTATGAATATGACTTAAAACATTCCAGTTTATGGAAGTTAAGTTTTGAATTCTCTAATAATTACCTAGTTCAACACAATTACAGCATATGGTTGTTTGGAGTTACCTTTAGTATCTTGGCTATGAGTTCTGTCCATAAATGGCTTCCTAAAATGCCATTAAGTAAATTATTTTTAAATCTGTGACAAAGTATGTGACATCATATCTCTAACCAACTGATTTTTATTAATCCAAAGAAAGAAGCATCTTCTATAACAAATGAATAGAACTTTCTCTGGCTTTTCCTCTTTCAGGACTTTAAGGAAAGCATTTATTATTGTGGCAAAACAAGCTGTTTCCTTTGATATGCACTGAACAATCTTATGTCACTTCACCTTCCACTAGACCAGATTTCTTGGAGCCCAATCCAACCTGGCCTTGAACAGTAGAATCATTGAATTGTAAAGGTTGGAAAAGGTCTTTGAGATCATCCAGTCCAACCATCAACCCAGAACTACCACTAAAGCATATCCTCGTCTGCCCTGTCCACATGGTTTTGTCCAGGCTAAGCACCTCCAGCTCCCTCAGCTGCTCCTCATCACTCTCATGCTCCAGACCCTTCCTCAGCTCTGTGCCCTTCTCTGGACCCACTCCAGCACCTCAATGTCCTTGTAAGGGGCCCAAAACTGAACACAGGACTTGAGGTGTGGCCTCAGCAGTGCCAAGTGCTACAGATGGAACATCCACAGCCTCTGTGGGCAGCCTGATCCAGTGTCTCACCACCCTGACAGCCAAGCACTTCTTGCCAATGTCCAATCCAACCCTGCTTTTTTTTCTGTTTGAAGCCATTCCCCTTGTCCTGTCACTCCATGGCCTTGTCACAAGTCCCTCTCCAGATCACATGTAGCCCCTTGAGGCACTGGAAGATGTTGTAAGGTGTCCCCAGATTGTTTCTCCTAGTTCCCTCAAAGTGTAGCATGCACAGTTGACAATATGATCAGTATAGTATCTATATGATAAATATTATATAAAGGTAAATAAATATTCTCACCCCTCCTGACCAAAGTGCAGGTTATGGATACAAAGGGTAAGAAGGAAAGGATTAGGTGTCTGCCTGTATAGATGACACCAAGTATATTTTAAAAGGATCCTCACTTCTTCACATGACTCTTTAACAGCATTGCTTTTAGAACTCAATATATCCTTGACCTGTGAGTTTAGTTCTTACCTCCATGACAAGAAAAATTCTGACTTTTAGGTAACACGTAGCATTAAAGTATTTTGTCTCTAAATGAGTAGCTTATGTAAGCTTTCTCTAACCTGGGGTTGTGCCAGCTTCTTCAAATTGAGATCTTCCTACAAAATTCTGTAAATATTACATATTGCAAATGATTATCAACAGAATTAGCCTGACTTAAGTTAAAAAACACTTTTGACTTTTTGATGTTGACGGTTCAGAGGCTGTAGGTAGAAGAAACATTCCACAGTACTAATGTTGTTTCCTAAGTAGTCCAGCATTCTTGGAAACTAAATGGAAGAAGTTACCTCACTAGGATTTACAAACCTTGATAGAAAATTTGGTAGATGATATTGGAGATTGAATATTGCTCCAGCTATTTTAAATAATACTTGTTTTAACAAGGTAGTGTTAAAAGGTGCTTTTTAAGCACTATGCATTGGGGTGTCCACTTCTGTTTGGTGATAGGTTTGTGCAAGTGAGTTTTGCACAATTTGCCACTCCCAGGCTTTTTCCCCCTGGGACAATTAGATTGAAAGCAACTTATAGTTGTGTTGTTTTTTAACAGGATCTCTTGGACCCTGCTCGATGGAGAATGCTGATCCAACAGTTTAGATATGATAACTACAGACTACATCAGCTGGGAAACAATTCTGTTTTTACTATAACGCTCCAGGCAGGCCTCTCAGCTATAAAAACACCGTATCCTTTAATGCAGATATTACTGGGAGTGAAAAAAAAGCCTTGTGGGGGTTTATTTTTGGCTTATGGATGCTTTTCAGAGAGCTCAAATAAGAAATGTGACACTTCAATATTTTTGCTTATGAGTTGTTCAAATGGAGTATAAATTGGTCACAATGAAATTAAGGGGAGATTATAATAAATAGCATTATTGTTTTTAAAAAAGGCATGCCCAAACAAAAATTTTAAGGTAAAATGTAACACTGTGTTTGGTTTGGCTGTCTTTTCATGTCTGAAATTAGCAAATATGCCTGCAAGGTTTAGTGAACTGGGTCATAATTACAGTTTTTTAAGCACAAATTTACTTGCTAGGTTTTATGTGAATATTCAAACATAGCTGCATCTTTTGAAACTTCGTTGGGTTTGCTGCACACTGTGTTGTGCTGGAGAAGAGCTGGTGCTGCTGGAGTGCTGCACTTCAGAAGCTTTACCTGTGCAGGCTGCCAGACATGCATTTTGCTCACTCTTGTTCCTTGAAACAGAGCAAACCCTTGATTCTTTTATGTAGACATTAAACTTGAATTAAATGTTCCTGTGCGTTCTGTCACCTGGGCTCTGTTGGCACAGCTGACGATCTTTTAATTTTCAGGTTTCCCGTACAATGGGAAGCTAATTATGGTTTCATTGTGGCGATTGTTCCCTAACTTGCTGTTAACAGACAGTGTTACAAAGAGGATGGGAGCTCAAAAAACCCCGACTGCCCTGTGTGTAGCAAATCCCTGAACAAGCTGGCTCAGCCCCTGCCGATGGCACATTGTGCCAACTCCCGACTAGTCTGCAAGATTTCGGGGGACGTAATGAACGAAAATAATCCTCCTATGATGTTACCAAATGGATATGTCTATGGATACAATGTAAGTGTTGGAGTCAATGACTTGCTTAAGGCTAAAATAGCAGTGGTTAGAATAACTTGCTACATCAAAATAAGAGCTTATAAACTCAGTCAGAAGCTAGAAAAATACTTATTGCAGTAATGTTTTTTTAAGGACTGTATATTTAGCTTCTTAAATTGGTCTTTATGAAGACATATTAATGGTCACATACCTAACTATGTGAATTTATAACAAGAGATCAAATGGCATTGGAAATCTTTCCCTCCAGAGAGCAATAATGTAGAATAAGTAACTTCTGGGGGCAAAGACGTTTTGACCTCAGACCACAACATTTTTTTAAATTAAAAGTTCATTTCCTAAACAGCTCAATAATGCTTTGAGTTACTGTTGTGAATGTTATCTTTTGGTTTCACTCTTTTGCAGTCTCTGCTTTCTATTCGTCAAGATGACAAAGTAATTTGCCCAAGAACCAAAGAAGTCTTCAACTTCTCACAAGCTGAGAAAGTCTACATCATGTAGGTCTAAAACACACAATGAAGTGCCGCTGGAATTTTGACACAGTGTATCTTGGCATACCCTGTAAAGAGGGGGCCTTAATGTGTGGCAAAGAAGCAAAACCTGCCACCTTGGGGAGCAGACCTGTCGGTGGCATTATTGTTTCTTGCGACCAAAGATCAATGAGCAACAATAAACACTCTTGAAAGGAAAAAAAAGAAAAAAAAAAAGGAAAAAAAAGAGAGGAATTATGACTTAAGTTTGTACTTGAATAAAAAACACAAAAACAAATTTTGATTGTTAAGGTTTTGTAACATAAGGTCAAAAATTGGACTCTTCTCAAAGAAAAGTACTTTCATCTTCTAAAGGATAGCTTTCTTTAAAGATGGACATTTGCACTGGGGGAAAAGTTACAACAGATTTGAAATGAAATCCATTTTTCTTCCCTCTTTTTCACAATTGTCCAAGACCCTTTTGTTATCAAAGATCTCAGTACTACCAACGTGTTCTCCTTTAAGCTCCTCTTTGCCTTCTTTATGATCCTCTGGTGAAGTAATCCTGAACATGAATGATGTAACTTATTTCCGTGGGAAGATATTTTTAATGTCTTTGACACAAGGTGGCTTCTCTGGAGGATCAAATAGCGACTGGTTTGAAGGAGTATGAAGTCTTTTTCCAAACCCAAATATTTTAAGGAGGTTGCATAAGTATCAAGAACTGAGAACATTTCAGGCAAAATCCAATGCTTGTTTAAATGTTCTTTTTCCAGTCTACCATAGTGTTAAAGTCCTTCTAAAGTTATTAGTTATGTGCATAGGGTTCAATATGAAATCATTAGTGCTACTGCCTTATTTCTTGCTTTGAGAATGTACTCACATGACAATGAGCTGGTATTCTTAAGTGTTGGGCGAAGTTTCTGAAGATGCCTTGCAGGATGATTACATAATTTTAGGGTCTAAATAGTATTCATTACTGAAACTAATAGTTCAATTTTAACAACTGCAGAACACATCCTTATGACTTTTCAAAAGAATTAAACCATTGTAGTTTAAACAAAACCATTATGTAGAGGTTTGTATTTAGCGCTTATTTTTGCATGTTGATGTTGATTAGCTAATAAAAGATTGTAAATGTAAGACATGTTAATAAAAATTGTTTTCCATTTCTTGATTATATAAAATTAGAAAGCTGTTTTGTGTTTAAATGTAAAAAGAATTAACTCTCTGTGGCCTCTCTTAAAAGTAGTGTAACTTCCAAGTGTTGATTTTAAGTGTTCTGCAAGATTTAAAAGAAAAAGAAGAAAAGTAACAAGACATACACATACAAAAAACCAAACCAAAAAAAACCCAGCAAACCAAAAAAATGCCACACAGCAACCATAAATGTCATTCTTCAGACCATTTCAGTCAAATACGTATTTTTGGTTTAAACTTTTTGTATACGAACAGTATACTCCAGGGTTTTTTCTGTCTCTTCCTAGAAGACTGCATCATGTCCTAGAGCCTTCCTGTTAATAAAATGTTGTGGGTGATATTAGGTGTGGGTTTTTCATGCTTTAAAGAATGCTAACAAAGCACAAAGGACCACAACTTCTTTTCGTGTTCAGCACTTGAAGGTCACAGGTATTGCTGAACTGCTGCTGCTAGCCACTGTGAAACTGTAAATACATAGGATTTCCAGGAAGCTGTGTCAGAAAAGGTTCCATTTTCAGTAGGCATCTTTTACTGATGTTTCAGAGCAGGTGTGTCTGGACCACTGCAGTGCTGCCAGCTTGGCACAGGCCAGGGCTCCTGCACTCACTGCTGAAAGGGAAGGGTCTGTTCTCAGGGCATTTACTGAGGTGGCAGATTTGGTGATTCCTTAGACCAAATGCAGTGTACCAAGAGTAGGTGGAGGCAGATACTGAGAGAACTTATATTAGAAAGGAGTAATTTGCTTTCAGCTATGCAGTAACTGCTCTCTTCCTTTCTCCTGGGGCAAGAGTTGGAGCTCCCTCAACTCAGAGAGGGGGGAGGATGTCACCCTGAGGAGCAGTTTTACTCAACCCACGTGGAACAGCACCTCTATTTCTTTGGGGCGCTGTTTGCAGCATCATTGCAGAAGGGAAGCATAGCTTCGAGCATAGCAACCTCACTTTTCCCTCTTTTACAGAAATTTATAAAAGGCCAAAGCAGAAAGAAGCAGTAGATTTCTATTCGACCTGAGGGAATGTGTGCTAAATGCACAACAATTGTAGGGCATGGAAATTGTTGCTTTTGCTTCTCTTAAATACCAGTTAGAGTTGTGGTTTCCTGAGACCAGTCTTTTTTGATTTCTGTGACCTGAACAGAGTGGTGGAGAAACCCATGCTCTCCAAAAAAACCTCATTTGGGATGGGCGGTAAGAGAACACGTGTCCTACAAGGAGGCCCCCTGTTTATGGGAGGTGTGATTGCAGAGGGCCAGCTGCCAACATGAGGACTCAGTCCCTGCTGGTGTGTTACCAGGGAGTGTTCCAGAGGGAGCGTAGGGGAGCTTCAGCTGTTGGTTAGCTCTGACTGCTCACTTTGGAAATCTGTAGGCACACAACCCATTGTGACTGCAGCGAGGCCTGTGTGCCACAGCTGTAGCTTCCTGGCTGGCTTTCCTGAATTGCTGGGCTGCTCTTGGCCTTGCTCTGCCGTGGCTTTGGAAGCCTCCAGCTATATGGGGTCAGAAACAGTGGCAGGCACAGACTGCTCTGGTGCAGCTGGGAGCTCTGGTTTGCATTCCCTGGCTGCTCTGTGCAGTCTGGAGCTCCCGATCCAACAGAGGTGTTGGTTCACAGCTCATCTCACAGGTGGCCCCATCAAACCAAGAGCAGCAGGTGACTCAGAGTAAGTATAAAGTTACTTGAAATGGTAGAAGCTCTCTAGTAAAGCAAAGATTCTTTCAAGATCTGACTGAGCTGAAAATGAACAATATCCTTCACTGTGATGTTTTTTCAGTCTTGTCAGGCAATTTAACGAGGCTTTGGATTTTGGTTGCAGTTTGGATTTTTGGTTCCTATTTGAAGGCAACAGTTTGTCCCAGTTGTGATCAGGACAGATTCCTCTGATTTCCATAGTTACACCAAGGATGAGAATTGCCTTAACCTTTCCTTCTGTTTGTTGTGGTCCAAAGCCCTACACTAAATATTGAAGATTTTTCCAGTACTGCAAAAAGAGAGATACTGGTAACCCTTCACAGTGCCCTGTGTCAGCTCCCATTATCTTCCAGGCTCAGAAGGGTTCAGGATGCTGAGGTCACAACATTTTGTAGGTAGGAAATAGCAAAGCTGATGCCAAACTCAAGCAAAACATTTTCCTGCAAGCTTTGAAGACTGATGAACTGGTAAAGGTTTGGGTTGTTATTTTTTTTTTAAATAAGCATGGCCTTTTCTATTCAGTAATAAAATTACTCCTTGGGGGGAAAAAAAAAATATATATTATTTGGGACAGGAAGAATGAGAAAATTACATCTGGAAATCTGCCAAAAAGAAGCCTTTGAACATGCATAATGGACCACTATTCAGGAGAAAAAAAAAAAAAAAAAAAAAAAAAGAAGAAGAAGAAGAAGTACTCTGATTTGCTTTATTTTCAGCCGCACCCTGAGCAGAGTGTGTTGGGAAACACTTATATTGAGGGTGCTTTGAGACCCACACTGTGACAATGTGCACTAGGTGTCCTGTTGCTTTTTCATGTTCCATTATGAGGTATTCTTAAGTCATTATTCTGAACACCAAATAAAGCCCAGCCCAGATCCACATGATAGTTGGTAGAGTCTGATCTTCATTTCATCCTTGAACAGATAAACTAGTTTGCAGTAGTTTGCTCTAGTCACTGAATCTATTCCTTGTTTGATGATGAGGGGGGTCAGATATTCACCAGGATCTCCCTGCCATTATGCCATTATGCTTTTCCAAAGATTCGGTGTCTGGTTGGTTCTGCAACATGAGTCAGCCACACTGAAAGGCAGCATTTCTCTTAATTCAGTCATTTATTTTAAAGACTTGGCCCTGTTAGCTAAGCTCTGAGAAGTTTTCAGGAGCTCATCTTTCTCTTTGCTTAGAAGGAGATGTAGAATGGACAGAGCAGGACAGCAGAATTTCTTATCTCTTTACTAACACATCCTCTTAGAGCCAGGTAAGTTCTGTATGAACTTCTACTTACTTAGAAGTATCTCTGGCAAAGTCAGGGGAAAAAAAATTACAATCAAGGCCAGAGAGAGGGAGCAAGAAGTTTCAGTTCAGTTATTGTTGGATGTGAGGGTTGAAGATGTTGTAGCAGCTGTAGAGCCAACACAAAGTAGTTCTACCTTACAGCTGGCTTCTGTGAGATGTTGTGTGAGAACTAGACATTGAAAAAAAATCCTAAGAGATGTCCTGATCTCAGTTTGAACTGAAGCTGTAAAACTGTACATGGGAGTTCTTAACATTAAAAATAAAATTAGTCCTCCACTGCTAGCTGGCAACAAGTTGATTTCACTGAGGAGCGCACAGTTGTGAATCAGGTATTTTCAACTACACCATAAAATCCTGCTATTTGATCATGTTACAATTATCAGAGATCTACATCCTAAGCCAGAGGAAATCAACTGTAGGATAAGTAGCACCACAAGAGAACAATAGGAAATAGTAGAACACGAAACAGAAAGGGGCTGCTGTTTGACTCATTGAAAATGAGATCAAGCATCAGGATAGAGCTATGAAATGTTATCAGCCAGTCACCTTTCAAAGAGATCAAAATAACTGAAGCTTTTACAAGAGAAAGAAGAAAAAATTAACATGGAAGTACTGTCTGATAGAGATCCAGACTTTGTTACAAAACTGCGCCCAGCACCTTGCTGCTTTCTCCTAATAGAGATGGGAATGTGCGACATTGGTGGGCGGCATGGAGAGGGAGATGCACTGAGGAAACCAGAAATAACTTAGCAACATGGAAGTGAAAAAAACTGTTCCTGTTATAGAAGCCAAGTGATCAGTCTCCTGGGATTGTTACTTGTTCAGCTCTAATGGAAAGAAGCTGCTCTAGTATCCCGTCTGGGAATTGTACCACATAGAATCAGAATGGTTTGGGTTGGAAGTGACCTTGCAAACTCATTCCAACCCCCTGCCATGGGCAGGGACACGTCCACGATCCAACACTGCCCCATCCAACCTGGCCTTGGACACTTCCAGGGACGGGGCAGCCACAGTTTTCTCTGGGTACCATGTGCTAGGGCCTCCCCACCCTCACAGGGAAGAATTTCTTCCCAATATCCAACCTAACCCTGCCCTCTGCTGGTTTGAAGCCACTGCCCCTTGTCACTCCATAGCCTTGTCAAAAGTCCCTCTCCCACTTCCTTGTAACCCCTTTAGGTTCTAGAAGGTGTTAGAAACCTCCCCAAAGCCTTCTCCAGGCTGAGCACCCCCAGCTGTCAGCCTGTCCCCACAGCAGAGGGGCTCCAGCCCTCTGATCACCTTTGTGGCCTCCTCTGGACTCGTTCCAGCAGGTTCAGATCCTTCTGGTGCTGGGGCTGCAGAGGGCTCTGGTGCTGCTGTGCTGGAAGCTGGAGCACAGTCCTGGGTGTTCAGGTCGTATCTCATACACTGCAGCTGGAGCAGAGAAATCACTGAGCTGTTCAGTTTCCCAAACTAAAATGGAAAACTAAAGCTGGTTAAGGGGGAGATAACATTTGACACTATTTCCTATCCCATAAGATTAAATGTGTGTTGTGCATTTAAGGAAATAGTTATATACGTACCCCAGAGAGCAGAGGAGCAAATTTTCCCAGGGAGATCATCTGCATTCCCAGCCAGGACTTTTTCCTGACAGAGTCAGAAGGAAGAATGAGGAGAAGAAGATTATAAGGTCTATTCACTTCAGGACAAAAAGATCTTTAACTAAATTAAATATTTTGTTCCCCACCCAGGGAGATTAAGCAGGATCATATAGACAAATTCCCGAAAAGGAAATAAACAGATAATAAACCAGTAGACAATTTCCTTTTCTTTCTTTGCAAACCACAGCAAGACAAATTGCTCAAAAGAGCCAGGAGCAGAGCTGTGGGAAGTTCTTCAGGGTGTCCGTGTGTGCCCCTTATGGAGATGTCTCCTCTTTCAAGTAGCAGCTTTAGGGATGCAAACCAGAGAAATGTTTTGTTAAATACTGGAGGGGTC